AAAAATAATCGGTAAAGGCATTTCTGTGTTCGTGGTTTTGGGTTTGTATTTTAAAAGTTCATTTCTATCTTTCTCTTGGATTTCCATGATAGTGGTTTCTAATTCTAGTTTTGAATAATTTTTTTCAACAAATTTACCTTTTAGGAGGTTCGCTTGTATCTCAAAGTCCTGAACAATTCCTCCGAAGTCTAATTATTTGACTTTTTGGGGCGCTGTCTAACCATGGTTGGTAGTGACAGCTATTTTTGTCAATAGCAGTGTTGACACAAACCTTTTTAAAAAAGGTTTTTGTATGTACCTTACCATTTTCTATAAAAATGTCAAGGTCTAAAAAGTTGATTTTTTTCTCTACTGAATTTGTGGGTGAGGATTATACCTCTATTATTCAGATTAAGATTAGTGATAAAAGAATTTAGGGCTTCTTCGGTTCCATCCCAGATAAAAAAAAAGACCATCAATATATCTAAAAAAGGAAACATAAATAAGTTTGCATAGCTGGGAGCAAACCTGGTCCCCATAGCAGTGCCTCTTTTTTGCAAATAAAAAGAATTTAAAAACCAAAAATAATTATTATTTGAAATAATATTAATACCTTCTAAGATAAACTCTATTTGTTGACCAGCAATTTTCCCTTCTTTAGTTAAAATATCTTTTACAGCTTGACAGCCTATATCATGAGGTATAATGGTATATAGTGACTGAACGTATAATTTTAGATTTTAAACGTTATTTTGGATTAATACTTTCCCTTTTAAATATGCCTTTAGTAAACCTTACTGAAAGGGCTAATAGAAGGTTGAATCTACTTACTGATAAGGAGGATAATCCCTCACCACGTAAGGCAGAATCCTCAATAAAAACCCTCTTTTTTGAGCTTGAGAAGCATTTGAAAACTGAAATGAGGGATTGGTGGGATCAGGCATTGCTGGAAAAGTATCTAGAACAGAAACTTATCCCTAGGGGTTTAAGGTTCGATAAGAGACCATTCTTCTTGGATCATACACAATTAGAGAATGAATGGCTAGAAGCTCTATTATTATTATTATTATTGCCGTTTATATAGCGCCAACAGATTCCGTAGCACTTTACAATATTATGAAAGGGGATTTAACTATAAATAGGACAATTACAAATAAACTTACAGGAACGATAGGTTGAAGAGGACCCTGCTCAAATCGAGCTTACATTCTATAGGAGGTGGGGTGTAAAACACAATAGTACAGGAATTTGCAATCAAATAAGGTGGGCTGCCCTTTAGGAGAGGGCAAGAGACGGGTATGTGAGGTAGGGGTTAGTCTTGGAGGCCATAAGCTTTCCTAAAGAGATGGGTTTTAAGGCACTTCTTAAAAGATGCAAGACTAGGGGAGAGTCGGATGGCGGTAGGCAGGCTATTCCATAGGAAGGGAGCCGCCCGCGAGAAGTCCTGCAAGCGCGAGTTGGCCGTACGGGTGCGGACAACGGACAGGAGGTGGTCACGGGCAGAGCGGAGAGACCGAGAAGGGACATACCTGTGGATCAGTGAGGAGATATAAGAGGGGCTAGAGTTGTTCAGTGCTTTATAGGTGTGAGTTAGTGCCTTGAATTGACTCCTATAGCACACAGGAAGCCAATGTAAGGACTGGCAGAGGGGTGAGGTGTGAGAGAACCGACTAGAGAGGAAAATCAGTCTAGCAGCAGCATTCATTACAGACTGTAGGGGTGCAGTACGGCTTTTGGGAAGACCAAGCAGGAGAGGGTTACAATAATCCATGCGTGAAATTATTAGAGCATGGACAAGCTCCTTGGTAGTATCTGGTGCAAGAAAGGGGCGGATGCGGGCTATGTTTTTAAGATGGAATCTACAGGATTTGGCAACATGCTGGATGTGAGGCTCAAAGGTGAGACCAGAGTCAAGTATGACGCCAAGACAGCGCGCTTGCAAGGATGGGCTGATGTTGGTACCACAAACTTGAAGGGAGAGCGAGAGAGGAGGATCAGTATTAGGAGGAGGAAAGACAAGGAGCTCAGTTTTTGAGAGATTGAGTTTCAGAAAGCGTGAGGACATCCAGTCAGAGATGGAAGAAAGGCAAGCAGTGACACGTTGCAGGACAGCAGGGGAGAGGTCCGGGGTGGAGAGATATAGCTTGGTGTCATCAGCGTACAGGTGGTAGTGGAAACCAAATGAGGTAATAAGTTTGCCAAGAGAGGCAGTGTAAAGAGAAAATAGAAGGGGACCAAGGACGGAGCCTTGGGGGACTCCAACCGAGACAGGGCGAGGGGAGGAGGTATCATTAGAAAAAGAGACACTGAATGAGCATTGGGAGAGATAAGAGGAAAACCACGAGAGGACAGAGTCACAGAGACCAAGTGATTGCAGAGTTTGAAGAAGGAGAGCATGATCAACGGTGTCAAAGGCCGCCGAGAGGTCAAGAAGAATTAGTATGGAGTAGTGGCCTTTGGATTTAGCTGCGATTAGGTCGTTAGTAACTTTGATAAGGGCAGTCTCTGTAGAGTGGAGAGGGCGGAAGCCAGATTGAAGGGGGTCAAGGAGAGAGTTGGAATTGAGGAAATGAGACACACGGGTAAAGACGAGTCTTTCCAGAAGCTTTGAGGAAAAAGGGAGCAGGGATATGGGACGGTAGTTAGAGGGGGTGGACGGGTCAAGGGATGGTTTTTTTAGTATAGGTACTACAGTGGCATGTTTAAGGTCAGCAGGGACGATGCCAGAAGAGAGCGAGCAGTTGAAGATGTGTGTTAGAGAAGGCACGAGACAAGTGGAGAGAGATCTGATAAGGTGAGACGGGACAGGATCGAGCGGGCAAGTGGTGGGGCGAGAGGAGCAAAGAAGAGCAGCCACCTCTTGGTCAGTGGCTGGGGAGAATGTCTGAAGGGTAGGAAAGGCATGATCAATGTGTGATTGAGAAACAGAAAGGCAAGGAGGGGAGAATTCTTTCCTTAGCTTTTCAATTTTGTTAGTGAAGTAACATGCAAAGTTGTCAGCAGTAAGGTTGGTTTGGGGGGTGGCCACAGCAGGGCGAAGAAGAGAATTAAAGGTGTCAAAGAGACGCCTGGGGTTGCGGGAACATGAACTAATGAGAGAGGAAAAATAGGACTGTTTGGCAAGGGCAAGGGCTGCACTGTATGAACACAGTATGAATCTATAATGGAGAAAGTCTGACTGGGTGCGAGACTTCCTCCAGGAGCGTTCAGCACACCGGGAGCATCTTTGCAGGTAGCGCGTTGATTTAGTATGCCACGGTTGGGGGCGGGTCCTCCTTGAGGTGCTTGCTTGGAGTGGTGCTGCAGTGTTCAAGTCAGATGTAAGAGTAGAGTTATATATGGAGATGGCCAGTGAAGGACAGGATAGGGAAGGGATGGACAACAGTTGTGGATCAATGTCAGCTGACAACTGTTGGAGATCAAGAGAATTAAGGTCCCTCCTGAGTTGAGGCTGGTTAGGTGGAGGTTGTTGGGTGAGGGGGTACGTGAGAGCAAACGATAAGAGGTGGTGATCAGAGAGAGGATAGGGAGTGTTGCAGATATTAGATACCGTACATGCATAAGTGAAGATTAGGTCGAGGGTATTGCCAGCTACATGGGTGGGTGAATTTGCTCACTGTGATAGCCCGAGGGAGGAAGTAATTGAAAGTAGTTTATTGGCTGCAGAGGTCAAAGGTGGGTTTATAGGAATATTGAAGTCCCCGAGAATTAGGGATGGGATGTTAGAAGAGAGGAAATAGGGTAGCCAGGCAGCAAAATGGTCAAGGAAGAGAAGAGGGGAACCAGGGGGACGGTAAATAACAGCAATGTTAGCAGCGAAGGGTTTGAAAAGGCGAATTGAGTGTATTTCAAATGATGGGAAAGAGAGGGAAGGGGGGGGTGGGAAGAGGTTTAAAAGAGCAGTGAGGGGAGAGGAGAAACCCAACACCACCACCTTTACATTCAGAGTTTCTTGGGGTGTGGGTAAGTTGGAGACCACCGAAGGACAAAGATGCAGGGGTGGCAGTGTCAGAGGGGGAGAGCCAGGTTTCTGTTAAGGCTAGTAAGTCTATTGAACGAGAGATGAATACCTCTGCTCTGAAGATTCAGCAGGACTTGGTTGCTTGGGAGTGCTGGGTGTTAATGCTGTTTTAAGGGGCCCAGTCTGAAATATAAGGTCTGAGGTTAGAAAAAAAATGAAATAAAACACACTGTTATGGGTGGGGAGACATGGGGCTATTGAGGTAATTAATTAGAGATGAAAAACTAAAAGGAGAGAACATTTGGGATAAAAAGATAGGAAGGATCAGATAGGTGAAAGTCATAAACCATGAACATAAATTTACTATATTATCAGTGAGAGTAGTAACACTAGCTAAACAAACAAACAATTAACAAAGAGTCTAAGAGAATGAACATAAATTGACATGATCATACCAGCCTTAAGAAAAACAAAAACAGAAGAAGATCAGGATGGGAGATATAGTTATCAATTGAGTAGTGATAGTATAGGGAGGGAGATGGAATAGAACACCGTTTGAAAATAAGAGTTTAAAGGAAACAGTAATGCAGGTATTCTTGAGTTGATCTTCCAGAGATAATACCTCTGCTCTGAAGATTCAGCAGGACTTGGTTGCTTGGGAGTGCTGGGTGTTAATGCTGTTTTAAGGGGCCCAGTCTCTGCTCTGAAGATTCAGCAGGACTTGGTTGCTTGGGAGTGCTGGGTGTTAATGCTGTTTTAAGGGGCCCAGTCTCTGCTCTGAAGATTCAGCAGGACTTGGTTGCTTGGGAGTGCTGGGTGTTAATGCTGTTTTAAGGGGCCCAGTCTCTGCTCTGAAGATTCAGCAGGACTTGGTTGCTTGGGAGTGCTGGGTGTTAATGCTGTTTTAAGGGGCCCAGTCTCTGCTCTGAAGATTCAGCAGGACTTGGTTGCTTGGGAGTGCTGGGTGTAGATAATTGTTCTGTGATACTGATGCAAATTTTGGTCAGATATAGACAGTATAGATTAAAAAGAACAGAAACTGAGATAGAGTTAATCCATTCTCAGATAAATACTATGGATAATTCTGACCTTGTAACAGAATTGGATAACAATGTTAATAATAGGATGACTAAGTTTGAGAAAGAGATAGTCACCAAAAAGAACTCTAAATTCCTCAGAGATAAAAAAGATTTTGAGGGTGGCCTCATTAGAAATTGGCAGAGGAAGGCCTATAGGAAGAACAGGGATACTCCCACTTTAAGATCAGGGAATAAGTCCGAGATTCGTAATTCCCACTCCATTCATCAGTACCCCAAAAAAAGAAATATGAATCCTGGGAATTCTTCTCGTGAATCTTATAATAAGACTACTGGACATGGTCACAATACTTATGCGGAAATAGCGAGATTCAAGCCACATAATCAGATGAACCAGAGTTATACTCCAAGACGTGGTTATAATCGAGATGAGAGAGATATCCGCTATACTCCGAAGAAGCCATATAACAATGCATGGAGAAGACAAGATAATCCCAATCATATTCCTCTTTCAGAGTCTAGGGACCTCCTCACTACAAGATCCATCAATGATTCAAGTGCCAACACAGACCCCAATGAATTGGGAGCTCGCCCCAAACCGCCACGATCCCATAATTATGGCTCTTCAAGAGATGTTCATTTTTTAGGGGAAGGTCCATCAGACATTCCCAAGACCTTTCCGTTATTTTCCAAGAGAGGGGCAGGAAAAGAGATACACCCACAGGGGAACAAGAGGAAAGGGAAATGAACCCCAACAAATTGAGGTGCCTCCCTTAGTGGGAATCTTTAATTTGTCTACTCATATATTGAAAGCCTCAGAGATTTCCTTGTTGAACAAAGGTTTGAACTTTGCCCCCCTCAGTAATCCCAATATCTTGGATCTATTTAGGGATCTTAATCAATTCATTAGGAAATTGACCCTTACTAGGTCATTCAATATTAAGGAGGCCAATAGTATAATTGAATGTCCTGGTTTTTTAAATGAACCACAAGATAAGATTATACTTAAGAATTTGATAGGTCTCCTTAATGAACAAACAGAGCCTGGGATCACAATTGATGCCTTGGAGGTTATAGACGCTAGTATAACTACAGGTCTTAAACCACCTTCCACTTATTATCCTGTAGCAGATAAAGGAGGATTTCTACCTATCTTCTACGAACTGGTGTTGAAGGATTTTAGATCTCTAGTCACCAGTCTAAATGTCAAACAAAGAAATTGGAAGTTGGAATATAACCTTACGAATCTGGAAAGGGCAGCACTGAAAGACCTTAAGAAAGGTCATAACATCGTTATTAAGGGGGCGGATAAGGGAGGTGGGATTGTCCTTCTTGATAGGGAGAACTACCTCAAGGAAGCATATCGGATTTTGGAAGATACAAATTATTATAAAACCCTCGCTTTTAATTCAATACTCAATTCACCAGGGATCTTAAAACCTGGGTGAATAAGATGTTTGATATAGGGGTTATTGACAAATCAGAAAAAGGTTTTCTCCTCTCCGGTGGAGGCAATATACCCATCTTTTACTTCCTACTGAAGATCCATAAGTCCCTCACTAATCCACCTGGTAGACCTATCATTTCATCTATTGGTTCTCTTACAGCACCCTTATCAAAATGGGTAGATATTCATCTTCAGAAAATTATGATCAACCTTCCTTCGTATATTAAAGACACGGGACATGTATTATCATTGATGCAGGAGATTACCTGGCAGGAGAATTATTGTTGGCTGACTGTGGACGTGGCAGCCCTATATTCAAATATTGACCATAAGTTGGGCTTGAAAGCCATTCAACATTTCCTTTTGGAAGATCCCCTCCTCCCTCTTTGTCAAGTGGAAGCAATTTTGGAAAGTATATCCTTTATTTTAACCCATAATTATTTTTGTTTTAATGGGCAGTTCTACCTACAAATAAAAGGTACAGCAATGGGGGCTAGTTTTGCCCCAGCATATGCAAATATCTTTATGGGCCTGTGGGAATCCATTCACATACTTAACCATCCTGTATGGAGAGAACATCTTATATTTTATAAAAGATTCATCGATGACATCTTGATTATTTGGAAGGGTGATCTTGATGATACTGATAATTTTGTCCATTATCTCAATAACAACGAATGGGGATTATCTTTTACTAGTAATAAAAATAAGACAACTATTGAGTTCCTGGATTTGATCTTATGCGGGAAACCTGGACATGTCCTCACTAAAACTTTTAAGAAACCGGTCGATGTTAATGGTTTTTTACATTCAACGAGTGGTCATCATCCAACGTGGATTAATAATATCCCGTTTGGTCAGTTTATTAGACTACGCCGAAATTGTTCTCTCTTGGAAGACTTTGAAGAAGAATCTTTGGAATTATGTCAACGTTTCCTGGATAAAGATTATGATCCAAGCACCATTTATCAGGCATATCATAAGGCTAGAAACATTCCGAGAAATTCACTCATAGAGCCTTATATTGATCAGGAGTTTTCAGCTAGATCTTCTTTGCCATCGGTTAAACATATGGAAGTGTTATCCCTTTTGGAAAATTCAACTCCTAAAAGAAGATCCAATACCCGGAATAAATTTAACATCAGTACTAGGGATGTTTCTCATAATAAGGGTCCCATATTTACCACTACCTTTAATAGGGCATATGACCAGATTATATCCATTCTATGCCAACATTGGTCTATTTTATTATTGGATCCTTGATTGAAATTTAGTTTAGCTGGGTCACCCAGAATAACCTTTAGGAAAAATAGAAATTTAAAGAACTTGTTAGCTCCATCTAAGCTTGCCTCAGCAGAATCCCATAACACATTGGCAGCCTCTGGTGTAGGGAATTTCAAATGCGGTTCAACGCGATGTCTAACATGTCAGTATATACACCATGGAGGTTTGGATTTCTCATCTTCTTCGAATAATGAGACTTTCCAAGTAACCTCAAGGATTACCTGTAACACCCCATATGTTGTCTATTTACTGAAGTGTTCGTGTGGATTGCTTTATGTTGGCCAGACTTCTAGGTCATTGAAAACTAGGTTCAGAGAACACAGACTAGCGATCATTAAACAGGATAGAAAATCCCCGGTAGCTAGACACTTCCAGATGGCCCATGAGAGTAATCCTTTATATATATCTGTTATGGGTATTGAACATATCCCGGAGAAGATTGTCAATAGAAAAGCAGCTCTTATTGTAGCTGAGACCAGGTGGATTTTCCGACTGAATACTCTTAACCCGTATGGGTTAAATGAGGAATTGGAGCACATTACTTAATTTTGTTTTTTCCTTTTGATTATTTTAAGTTAATTAATTTTTTTATGGTTTTGCTCTAACAGTGGGGAATGGATCACAAGGGATATGAGGGATACATTTACAGCTGTGTGTCCCTATCCCCTCCCCCCCACCTCTGTTTAAGTATAACCTATTTATTTAGATCATTCATTTATTTATTGTTTCAATTCGTGTTCATTGAACATAAGCTTTGATTGTATGTTATGTGACTTCCTTAAAAAGTTTCTTTATATGTAACATATTGGTATTTACCAGAATTATGTGTTCTTTTATGCATTTTTATATTTATTGATTAGGATTAATATTATTTTTATATATATTTTTTATAATTCTTTAGAGTCTTTGAGAGGCTTTTATTAAATAAACTTAAGCTGTTAAGTTCTTTATTTGTATATAAGAGTCCTCTGTGTTGTAGCTGATGGGGAAGAATGCACTCATATGTGTGCATATGTCTACATACATATAGAAATATAAAGAACTACAGCTTATGAGTATTTCTATAATATGAAAAAGATAAGAGACAGTCTTTAAAAGTCGCTCTGTTACATACAGGTTTGATTTCACATGTTTTATCTCCCTAAATAATTGTTAAATAGAGAGAATGATAATACCCATTGGCTGATGATTTATATTTAATAATATCATTTGGATGTTTATATTATAAAAATTATTTTTTTTTTTTATTTTTTTTTAAATGCACACCTTAGGCGATCCGCCTTCTACAAATTGACTCTTAATCTTTATTATTTTTTAATTGAATGACCACTCCTCTAGGTGCAGGGTATATATACCCAGTTTGTGGACAACAGATCTTTGTCTTGATAAAGTCCCTCATAGGGGACGAAACGCGTACACGATCTGTTTTCCGTCTCCTTTGATTTTCTACCCGACTTCATTTACGGCTTGGGAGGGATTTTCGGCAGCTGTTGAATTCAGTCCCACACATCTTGTTTCGTGGTAGGGAGTTGGCGTGCTCCCTTTACCTTACACGAAGGTAGGGTGAATAGGGTAAGTTTCTCTGGTTTAATCCCTAGGTTTTTAACACTAGGAGACTATTCATAGTGGCACCCCTCACCTTTACCTAGTGGTTTGGTGGGTTTATGAGCTCCCTCCCCCATGAATTATATATGTGTTTGAGGTCTGATATTCATTTTTTGACATTTTTTGATGTTTTATTATTTGATGTGCACAATCTTTTTTCATTTTTATTTTCTCTTTGATACATAATCCATATTAGTGTTGGGGGCCCCACACTATGTATCTTTGAATTTTGGTCTGGACACATCCTTATGACCATTTTTATATTTAGATTTATAAGGATTTTTTCATGGTTCTTATGATTTGATTAATTTTATTGTTTATATATGAATAAATATTTTGTGTATATGTACATTTTTATTTAATTCTACAGCTGCTGCTTTGGAGTGTAATTTTTCTAGTGGTCATATTTTATTTGGAGCGCTCACATACCCTTGTTGGTTTATATTTTATTTGGTTGTTTAGTCGCTCCTTTGTATGTGACGCAGCCCTGTTTATTATTTTGTACAGAGTTATTGTATACTCCAATTCAGATTCTTTTGATGTTTATTGTAATGGTATATAGTGACTGAACGTCGCATGTCACCAATATAAAACTAGATTTCCATGTAAAATTATTTAAAAAGTTTAAAAGAGCCATGGAGTCTTGGAGATATGATCTCATGAGTTTGACTGAAGGTTGCAAAAGGATATCTATATATTGAGAGAGATTACATAAAAGGGAACCTATACCTGATACGATTGGTCTTCCAGGTGGAGAGGTTTTACTTTTATGAATTTTCGGAAGGAAATAAATTACAGGTGTTATAGGATATTGATTGTTTAAAAAGTTGAATTCTTGTTTGTTTAAAATACCTTGCTCCACACCTTTATTTAAAAATTCAATAAAAACATTTTGAATTTGTTTTATGGGGTCTGCTGTGAGTTTTTCATATACTTTTACATCATTTAATTGTCTAAGTGCCTCATCTATATACATTTGAGTTGATTGAATGACTATTCCTCCACCTTTGTCCGCTGGTTTGATGACAATATTTTCGTCATTTTGAAGTTCTTTTAAGGCTAGCTTTTCTGAATGAGTTAAATTGTGTGGATCGTATTTGTTATTTTTTATTTTTTCTAAATCTTTTGTAACAAGTTTTTCAAACATAGTGAGAGGAGCAGATTTGTAGTGAGCAGGATAGAAGGTGGATTTCTTTCTAAGAGAAGTGTTAATAATGTTGTTATTACAGGAAGGTATTGGTTGAGTTTGGGTAGCATTTTGTTCGGTTTTGTCCATAAAAAATCTTTTGAGAGTCGCTTTTCGAACAAATGTGTTAACATCAATAAAAGCTTCAAAAGATTTAAAAGTATTGGTGGGGCGAACTTAAGACCTTTAGTTAAAACCGCTAGATGTGCACTACTTAAAATTTTCTGTGAGAGATTAAAAATGCCTCCATCAGTTCCATTGAGAGAAGGTATTATCTTTCTAGTCTTTCTCTTTTGTTCGCGTCTACCACTTCTTCTTCCTCTGAATTTAAAATTACTGTCATTAGACTCTGAATTTGAAAATGAGGACCATTTTTTAGAAATTCGAACCAATCACACCACACTAGCCCAAACACCTCACCCTTCACGCCCCAAAAAAAGGATTTTAAATTCAGAGGAAGAAGTGGTAGACGCGAACAAAAGAGAAAGACTAGAAAGATAATACCTTCTCTCAATGGAACTGATGGAGGCATTTTTAATCTCTCACAGAAAATTTTAAGTAGTGCACATCTAGCGGTTTTAACTAAAGGT